CTGTGCCCCCTTCTCTGCAAGGCTTGACGGGGGTGGGGCTGGCCAGGTCTGGGACTTGCATGATTTTGAGGTGCACGTGAGTGGGCAGGGACTTGTCTCTGGGTCCCACAGCGCACCCCAGACTCTGACAGTAGGGAGATTTTCATATACATTTTACTAATTTTCTTTCATCTCTGACACTTCTATTATAGAGAAAGGGCAAATAGCAATATTAAAATATTTCCTCTAGCTGGAACCGGTTTGGCTCAGTGGATAGAGCATCGGCCTGCGGACTGAGGGGTCCCGGGTTCGATTCCGGTCAAGGGCATGTACCTGGGTTGCGGGTGCATCCCTGGTGGGGGATGTGCAGGAGGCAGCTGATCGATGTTTCTTTCTCATCAATGTTTCTAACTCTCTATCTCTCTCCCTTCCTCTCTGTAAAAAAAATCAATAAAATATATTAAAAAAAATATTTCCTCTAATTCCCTTTTAATGTGCATGAATTTCATGCACTGGAGCACCAGTCTAATTATAAATGTATTTTAACTATATAGACATATATATTCTATTATATATTATAATTCCATGTATTTATATTGTATATATTCTAGTTATATATGTTAATTACATATCCTAATTATGTATCTTCCAATTTTTAGCATTTTATTATATACATGTGTTTGTGACTAGATAAAGATACTATACATAATAGGATATGTGTAAAATTACAACATAGTATTAGAAGTTACGCACACATTCATGGTCAACTGAATTCAAAGTCATACCTATAAATAAAAATCAGGATATTTTAAAATAGTTTTCTATTTTTCAATTATCGTTGACATACAATATTATATTCATTGCAGGTGTACAACACAGTGATTAGACATTTATGTAATTTACAAAGTGATCACCCTGATAAGTCCAGTACCCACCTGACACCATGTATGGTTACTGCAATATTATTGCTATATTCCCTATGCAGTATTTTACATCCCCATGACAAGAAAATGAGATGTTAATGTTCACCTTTTGTGTGTGCAGCGGCAGATATAGGTGAATTTCTGAGCGCACACCACCACCTTGTGTCTTTTGGGGAAACTACATGTGAGTAGCATAGCATGTTGCCTTAGAACAGTGGTTCTCAACCTTCCTAATGCTGCAACCCTTTAATACAGTTCCTCATGCTGTGGTGATCCCCAATTTCATTGTTACAAATTGAACATAATTAAAGCATAGTGATTAATCACAAAAACAATATGTAATTATATGTGTTTTCCGATGGTCGTAGGCAACCCCTGTGAAAGGGTAGTTCGACCCCCAAAGGGGTCTCGGCCCACAGGTTGAGAACCGCTGCCTTAGAAGAAAGGGACTTGAGGCCCTCCTTTATCTATTTAATAAACATTTATTTCACACCTGCTGTAAACTTTGCCCTAGAAGGTTCAGAGTACAGGGCTTTCCAGTCTGAAGCCTCCCTGGAACTCCTCAAGGCAGATAAGCTCCTTCCCCCAGGCAAAGAGTGTCAGGGAGAAGGAGGCTGAGCAGGGGGAGCTGGAGAGTCCATGTCCCACATAATCAAGCAGTCACTGCTCAGCTTTAGACAGTTGCTCCCAGAAAGGCATATGGGCCTAGTGGTTTTCCTCTAAGAGAAGCCGGAAGTTCAAATGTTGTGCAAATCTCTGATTTTTCAGTAACAAGTAATTCTAATTATTTCTAAATATCATGAGCCAACTTTGAGCATCGACAGGCTCTGCTCTGCTCAGAATGCCCTTCCAGAAAAAACTCCCTGCCAGGCTGAGAAGAGTGTGGTTAGCTGAGAGTCACGCTGGCTTCAGCTTCCATCGGAAGGCGTGCCCTTTTTGGAACAGCCCCCAACCAATAACAGCAAAACAGCCATACAAGGGCCTGGACATCTGTACCAAGGAGGGCACCTCTAAAGAACAGCGTTGGCTCTGGAGGTCCCCAAAAGACTAACAGAGACTCTGTCAGGTCCGCATGGCAGGCTCACAGTTCCCCTTCCCAATCCTTTTTCTCTCCACTTCCTTTCACATAGGTTTCCAATATTTTAGCCTCTGATTCCCCGAGAACCAACATGTAACGTATGACTAGAATACCACTAGGTGGTTGCTTGAAAAGCATATGTTCAGTCTGAAATGCCCTGCTGGAATGTCTTAGAATAATGCTGACAAAAGAAATAGAATGTTAGCCAAATGTGTAATTCTAAATTTTCTAGTAAGCACATAAAAAGGGAAGCAAAACAGGTGAAACTTATTTTAAAATATAGTTTACTTAATACAATAAATTTGAAAGTGTCATTTCAACATGTAATCAACATAAAAATAATTACATATTTTATATTTTCTTCTGTTCTAAGTGTTTGGGATCTGGTATAAATTTTATACTTAATGGTACATCTTCATTTGGACTAGCCACATTTCGAGTGCTTCCAACGAGGAGAGGGAGGTCTCCTACATATATAGAAATTAAGGAGTGTTGTAAACAAAGGGAAAGGATGGGAATTGCATTTGCATTTACAGCATGAATTAATTCAATTGTCTCCTTTTGAAGTACTGACAAGATAGCTGCACCACAAGGCCCTTCTCTTTTTTGGCTTTTTTTTATTGAGATATAACACCCTCCTTTTCATCACGATCATGTACCAAACTTTAGTTTGTGTCCTCAAATTCCTGAAGATATGGGCCCTTGACACATGGTTGTCCTCTCCATTTCTACCTCTGTCACCAGGCAGGACTATAGATGACATTTTTATCTAAGCGGATAACCCATCCCCAATCTGTCAATGACATAAACAGTGGTCTCTTATCAGAGTAAGTGAGCCAATGTAACCAAGAAAGCAAGGACCAACAATTATTTTTGCTCTTCCCATGTGGGAAGTCACAGCTGGTGTTGGTGGGAGGGAAATGATTCCATTTTCCCATTACATGGGAAGGAAAGGAGGTCGGTGATTTTTGTAAGAAGTCAGGGACGGAGGCATTAGGGATGGCATCTGGAGGGGGTGTGGGTGCACCTCAGGATCAGCTTTGTGTCTTTACAAGACGTGTGAGATGGCAGAGCCTAACCTGAAAAAGCAGTGTTCAGACACACTGCAGGGTCAAAAGCAAAGTATCCTGAAGGGTCATAGAAGACATAATAAGGAAGGAAAGCAGGAAGGAAGGAAGGGAGGGAGGGAGGGAGTAAATATATCAATAAACTGTAGTATATTCATGATATACTACAAGTGTTTGTGTCTTCAATGTGTAGCTCTGTGCCTGGTACAAAGTAGACATTCAGTGTTCATTGAATAAATAAATAAGGAATAAAGATTACATGCATAGGGAGTATATAAGCTCAAGGAGAGATCACAATTACCTGGAATATTAGGAAAGGCTTCCTTCAAGATGGACTAGGAATTCTACAAGCCTTGATCAGAGAGGGAGCGTTAGACATAGAAGTCCAGTGTTGAGTGAATAAAACTGCATTCAGCTGCTCAAGTGACTGCAAACACTTTGACAATGTGGCCGGAACACATGTTCTAACTAAAAGACCTCTACTCTGTGCTGGGGAATTTATATTTCATTCTTCAGAACCAAGATGGGGAACGACGGCACATTGGATATCCTTAGTGGGGAGTTCACTCATTCAACATTTTAAAATACTTACTGAGCAACTGCCCGCTACCAAGGCTTGTGCTTAATACTGGAGTAAAACTGTTAAGGTCAGAAATCATCCCTGCTTTAGTTGTGAAACTGTAGGATGAGAACCATCTTTGTACCGGGACAGGCAAATTCTTTTCACCTGTGTTCTTTACAACAGGCTGATGGAATGGTTATCATTACTAACCTCTCTAAATAGGAAGAGAGAGTGAAGAAATTAAGAAATTAGTTTCATTTAAACACAGCCCAACTGACTAAAAATCCATTGAGGTGTAATAAAGAATGAATTAAAAGCCCACATTTAAAATGTAGGGTGGTGGGTTTTGACAAATGTATACATTTGGCACCACCACCACCAAGACATTCCCATCACCCCGAACGTTCCCTTTCCAAACATTGATCTAATTTCAACGTTATTTGATTCACATTTTCGTTTCAACGGGCTCGTGTCCCAGTGCTCTGGAGGCCTGCCCTTTTAGAGCAGCAGGAAAATTGTGTGTTCCCTCTATAAACGGTTCTCAACCTTGGTTGCACATTAGAATCACCTGGGAATCTTTCTAAATCTGATTCTGGGCTCATCCTCGGGAATTCTTTGTTAATAATGTTGTGATCCCACCACATAACAAAGAAACAGAATTTCAGAGGATGAGGCCCAGAAATCAAGGATTTTAAAAAGATTCCCAGGTGATTCTAATGTGCAGCCAAGGTTGAGAACCACTGATCTATATTGTGGTGACTATCCCTAGTTGATTTTTATTGCTGAATTCAGACTTTTAGGGAGAGGAGACATTCACCAAATAATCACCTAATTATTTTATCACAACAGCATTAAAATAAGGATACCTACAAGTGAAATACATTGTTTGTTGATAATTCAATCAGTACTTATACACTAGAGGTGCTGTGTACTGGGTCATGATTCAGTTCGTGGAAAATAAACGTTATTAATGGGTACCTTAAAAGAATCCTATATATTCTATGAATGTCTTTAAGTCCCTTATTTTTAAATTTTCAGTCCAGATGATGTTCGGAAGTGCTTTTTGTTGGCTCTTTGAGCCTTCCCTTGAGCGGGTAGGAAAAAAAAAGAAGTTTGTACGGCGCATGCGCCCCTGCCCCGGCGAGCCCCCAGCAACAGCGTCAGCGGCCTGGCCACCTCCACGTAGACGGCGAAAGCGTACTGGGCCCCGACTCGGTACTGCCCGCCAATCCCGGGAGCCGTGGCGGTCACGTGCGCGCCTGCACGCCGGAATGGCCCCGCCCACCTCCTTGAACTCCCGCGAGGAGTCTGGCCGGCGCGGCCCCAGCCCCAGAGAAACTCCCGAGGGCCAGGCTGCGCTTGCTCAGTGCGGCCTGTGGGCGGGGCGGGAGATGCGGAGGCCGCGGAGTGGGGCCGCCCCACGGGCTGGGTGGCGGAGCTACGCCGTAGGGGCGCGGCGTCGCGGCGGCCCGAGCCGGGAGGACCCATTCTCTTTACGCGGCTGCCGTAAGGAAGCTTGGTTCGTCCTCCCTCGGTGCTCCGAAGTCCTGGCCCCGGCTCCCCGGTGCGCCACGTTCGGCGAAGCGCCTCTGCGTCAGGGCCTCGCTCCCCCGCCAGGTGCGGGGCCTCGGCGCCATGGACTCGTCGGCGCTGGAGCGGGACGCCGTGCAGTTCGCGCGGCTGGCGGTGCAGCGCGACCACGAAGGGCGCTATTCGGAGGCGGTGTTTTACTACAAGGTGAGCTGGGGACCGCGGAGTCCGTCGGAGGGGCCGAGGGGCCGAGGGGCGGGTCCCGGTACCGAGGCGGCCGGGCCCGCTAGCCTCTGCTCTTTACCCTCTTCTCTTCCTGCGCTTTCCTTCTCGGGCACCAGGCACCCCCGCGCCCACCGGGGCTTCTGCCACGAGGGGCAGGTTGGCTCACAGCTTTGGAGCGACCACCTCTCCGCTTGCAGCCCGGACTGGCGGTGCCCACCTGGGGCTGCTGTGGCCACAGTAGTAGGTGTGAGCGGTTAGGGGCCGGCTGATTCTATCACTTGGTTCTCATAAGTAATGGTTCGGTTAATATCCTTGTCATTCATTCTTGACACATGTCTTCTCTGTTTCTTTTGTATAAATTACTCGGGGCAGAATTATTAAGTCGGTGTGAGCTTCCACAGCCCACCCTCTGCTCTCCAGTCTTGAGGATTTGCAGACACACCCCTCCAGCCCTAGCTGAGCCCTCTTCTTCCTTGTAGCTGTATCTTTATCATATTGTCACCTTTTTTTTTTTTTTTTTTAGAAATGTTGTCAGAAAAGTAGTAATTTTTTTCCATGAACGGATATGCTATATCAGTAATGTGTGGTTTGCTTTTCTCGGATTAATATTTTATTGTCTTCATTTTATAATCCGTATTTGGAGACTTGTTTTGTTCATAATCATTTCGTTCGGACTTTTTTTTGGGACAATTTCATGAAGGTGGTATTTCTTTAAAAGTAGAAATTCTGTGTCTTTTAGTTTTGTGAAATAACTGGTAAATATTCATAGATTAAAATAGTGCCATATAAAATAGTTTTTTCTAAAGTGAAAGAATATACTATGCAGTGCCTCTTGTTTTGTTATAGGATTTATATGCATGTCATTAGGAAGAATTTTTTATATTTGAGAAAGTCAGTGTGGTTGTGCTAGGAACTATATACATAAACTTTATGAGATATTTAGTGCTTACTTTCTTAATACTGTTCTATATGGGATTCCTTAGTGTTAATCACTTTCAAATAGAAATGAAATGAGTACAATAAAATTGATACCAGCAATTTTTAAAATTTGCTTTATTAAGCAAAATAATTTGAAAATCGGTATTTACATGCAAGATAATTAAAGGGGTAAAATATATATTACATTAATTTATTGAAGTCAAGTGTAGCTATAATGTATTTAGATAATGATGGTACATGTGAAGTTAATTTTTTCTCCCCTGAAATAAGTGAGTTACAGAATCTGAGGAAATCATAGCTTTTGTACCCTCACAGCTTTTAGACTGAATTTCCATTTGGATCAAAATCAATAACTTTTGTTTGTTACTGATTTTGTTAGGTTTAATGAAACAACTCCTGCTCCAATAGCTGGATTCAAAAAGTGATGTTCAGTGGATGGCTTTTTTGGATCCAGACAATTAGCCATGCGGCTTCACGAAGTGTACATGTTTAGGTTACTGCAGAGAAAGTGTTGCAATTTGGAGAAATCTCTCTGGTCCTTCTCAGTGGTAGCATTGGTAACCATCCTGACGTGGTGATGGGGAGAATGGCAGCTCTTCCTCATTAGCCACAGCATAATTGGCTGTGGAAGTTAGGGAATGAATAGCTGAAAGGTGAATCCAGAGTTTCTTAATTAAAATAAGTTGATTTCATGCAGCTGAAACCTGCTTTAAACTGTGACACTATTTGGCAGTATGTATTTTCTGTGGAGAAAGATTTTCTTCCCACTATGAGTTATTTAAGCTTTATAATTTTTTGTAATCTTTTCTTGACACTTAGTTTTATCTTATTTTATTGGTTATTAGTGGCCTGGTGCACAAAATTCGTGCATGGGGAGGTGGGTTGTCCCTCAGCCCGGCCTGCACCCTCTCCAATCTGGGACTCCTCAGGGGATGTCCCACTGCCAGTTTAGGCCCGATCCCACACCGGCAGTTGGACATCCCTCTCGAAATCCGGGACCGCTGGCTCCTGACCGCTCACCTGCCTGCCTGCCTGACACCCCTAACCGCCTCTGTCTCGGCCCCGCCACCATGGCTTTGTCCGGAAGGTCTCCTGGTCTAATTAGCATATTACCCCTTTATTAGTATAGATTGTTATCTGTTTTAATACTTTTAAGGCACAGTTCACCATTTTAAGGTATATAATTTTAAGTCTGACCTGTTGCATAAAGAAAACATATAAATCACAGCTATTCTAAGAAAATGTTTATAATCAATCCCTCCTATTTGAGTTGATAAGTTGTCAACAGTATGAGAAAATTAAGAGCATTAAGAACTGAAGAAAGGGTATTGGAGTATTATATAATTCATTTGCTTTATAAGTAAAGTTATTAGTATCTTAAGGACATTCTAGTTTTGTCATTCATAGAAACCAAAAGTTAAAAAGTAATAAAGAAAATTCAAATTGTAATTTATATATTAGATTCCTTTGAATTCTTATTTTTAGGAAGCTGCACAAGCCTTAATTTATGCTGAGATGGCAGGATCGAGCCTAGAACACATTCAAGAAAAAATAAATGAATATCTGGAAAGAGTTCAGGCTTTACATTCAGCAGGTTAGTAAAAGACTACTAAACTTATCACTGTATTTTTTTTTCTTCTCTTCCATCACATCTTACTTTTCTCTCTATGTTTCTCTTTCATTTTTATCTTTGGATCTTGATCCTAAGTCTCTTGTTGTTAATTCCTCTTTTGGTAATCACATTTTTAAAAGTCATAATATGTAAATGAATTATAGATCTGTGAAGGACAACCTTAGAGATAATACAGTTCAATCTCCTAATTTCCCAGAGGTTTAGAAATGGTGAGTTATTTACATTCTGACTGTATCAGTAGCAAAATCAGGATTAGGACCCTGTTAAAGTCTGCTTTTTAAATATCTGTCACATGCCCTCTCCTGGTATTAAATTTAAATGACTCCTCTTAAGTGTTTAAAAATATTTTTTTAATGATTTCAGAGAGGGAGGGATAGAAACATCAATGATAAGAGAGAATTATTGATTGGCTGCCTCCTGCGCTTCCCCCTACTGGGGATCAAGCCCACAACCAGATAGGGCTCCTCTTCAGTGTTTAAAGACTTCAGTAGTGGGTTCAGTCTCTTCTGTATCAGTATCCTCAACCTCAAGACCTTAGCTAAATTCTTTTAAACCATATCTTAGAAAAGCGACATGTAGGCAGAAACCTGGAACAGCCTGTATTTATGTTCATAAACAACATGGAAAATTCTTTAAAGCAAGTACACACAGGCTTAATGATCACACTTTTGTTAGAGGTCAGGTTTTCTGTCAAAATTTGCTGTTCATAGGGTAGAAAAGAAATAATCACCTGTTGACATTTTGTTTTAGAAATGCATTCATCTTACTAAGGACTCTTTAACCCTTTTTCCTGTGGCCCTATGATAAAGTCACAAGCAGCTTAGAGCAGCAATTTATTTTCAATCTTTTTTATCTCATAGCACACATAAACTGTTATTAAAATTCAGTGGCACACCAAAAAACATTATTTTTGCCAATCTGACAAAAAAAAAGTATAATTTTATTTCATTCACACCGGATAGCTATTGTGTTGACTGTCATTATTTTTTAATTTGACAACCTAATGAAAACGAGGTATCTAAATAGTCAGGTATTGCATGTTTTAAAAATTCTTGCAGCACACCAGTTGAACAGGTTAATATCACTAGTTTAGAGAAATCTTTACTTATTCAGCCATTCCTGATAAACTTCATGCTACATTCCACTACTCATTCTGAATAGATAGGAGCAGAAGTTATAAGCACATAGTTAAGATAAAGTAGATTTGATGATTGGATTCCTTGCTATGACAGTCCCTTTAAAGACAAGGTGGTTTAGCCTGGTCGGTGTGGCTCACTGGTAGAACATCAGCCCACACATTGAAGGGTCTTGGGTTCAATTCCTGATCAAGGGCATGTACCTCAGTTGCAGGTTCGATACCCGGCTCTGGTTGTAGTGATTGTGAGAGGCAACCAATCAATGTCTCTCTCTCTCACCCCCTTCCTACTTTCCATTGTTCCTTCCACTCTCTTTAAAAAAAAATCAGTAGAAAGCCCGGCCAGTATGACGCAATGGTTGAGCATCAATCTAGGAACCAAGAGATCATGGTTCTGTTCTGGGTCAGGGCACATGTCCTGGTTGCAGTCTCCATCCCCAGTAGGGGGCCTGTAGGAGGCAGCCATCAATGATTCTCATCATCGATGTTTCTATCTCTCTCCCTCTCCTTTGCTCTCTGAACTCAATAAAAATATAAATATTTTTTTAAGTCAATGGAAGAACTATCTTTAGGTGAGGATTATCAACATCAAAAAAAAGTCAGGGTGGTTTAGTTTAAGACAAGTCCCAGAAATTGTATAAATTAAGGTCCCAAAAATTGTATTAAAATGTAGACTGCTTGTGCATCAGGGCCCTACTTGATAAAAAGTTACATTGATTCATGTATTCAAAATACCTGTAAATTCCAAGAAACTTTTATTTTCCCAACCAAGTAAATGAAGTTCTTAAATTTATAAATGTGATACTGAGGCACAGAATGAGATAGCCCTTATCTCTTGAAAGAATAAAGCTTTCCAGTGAAACAGAAGTAAAGTTCAAAAGGATTTTTAAAGTATAACATACCTTAATTGTTTTTCTAGCTTTTGGGCCCATTTTATTCAACAAATGAAATGAAATCTGTAGAGCATTAAATGGTTTCCTTAATTATTATTTTAAACAGAAGAGTCATTTATCAAATAAAAATCTTGTTCAGAAACCCAATTTTTAAAACATAAAATCTGCTGGCAGTGAAGAGATCTTTGAGAGATGAGTTGTCTTTTGGGTGGGGAGAGGTAACACAGTTTGAAATTCACCAGTGTAGAATAAAAACTCAAGACTTGGAATTAAAAGATCTCAGTTGAGGCAGTTTGAACCCAAGTCTTGCTCTCTCACCTTCCTCCCTGAACAACATGAGCTTTAGCGCCCACTCCGTCTTCTCCACCAACTACCAGACCCTGGGCTCTGTGCAGTCACCCAGTCAGCCATCAGTGTGGCCAGTGTCTATGCAGGCACTGGGGGTTTGGGCTTGCACATCTCCATGTCCCCTACTCGACCAGCAATGTGTGGCTGCTGGTGGTCTGGGGGCCTAGTAGGTATAGGGGGTGTCCATAGCAAGGAGACTATGCAATTCCTAAATGACTGCCTGGAGAGGGTAAGGAGTCGAGATTGATCATGAGAGACTGGAGAAGAAAGGACCCGAAGGCTCAGATCTTTGCAAGTTCTGTGGACAATGCCCACATTGTTCTGCAGATTGATAATGCCAGTCTTGCTGCTGATGACTTCAGAGTCAAGTTTGAGATGGAGTTGGCCATGCATCAATCTATGGAGAGTAACATCGATGGGCTTTGAAAGATCACTGATGACACCAATATCACTCGGCTGCAGACAGGGATCGAGGCTCTCAAGGAGGAGCTGCTCTTCATGAAGAACCACGAGGAGGAAGTAAATGGTCTATAAAACCAGACTGCTAACTTTGGGTTGACTGTGGAGTTGGATGCCTCCAAATCTCAAGACCTCAGCAAGATCATGGCAGGCGGGCATCTGGGCCCAGTATGATGAGCTGGCTTGGAAAAACCAAGAGGAGCTGGACAAGTACTGGTCCCAGCAGATTGAGGAGAGTACCACAGTGGTTACCTTGCAGACCACTGAGGCAGGAATGACTGAGATGACATTCTCAGAGATGAGACGTATGGTCCAGGTCTTGGACATCAACCTGGACTCGAGAAATCTGAGGGCCAGTTTGGAGACCATCTTGAGGGAGGTAGAGACGCATTATGCCATGCGGATGGAACAGCTTGACAGGATACTGCTGCACCTGGAGTCAGAGCTGGCTCAGGCCCAGGGCAGAGCAGCAGCGCCCGGTACAAGAGTACAAGGCCCTACTAAACATCAAGGTCAAGCTAGAGGCTGAGATTGCCACCTGCTGGGAGAAGGGGAGGACTTCCATCTTGGTGATGCCCTAGACAACAGCAACACCATGCAATCCAACCAAAAGACCACCACCCCAGGATTATGGTGGCAAAGTGGTGTCAGGACTGTGACACCAAAGTCAGATGTTAAGGCAGCAGAAGTGGGCACCCCTTGGGAGGCAGGAGACCAACAAAAAGTTCAGAGATCATTGATCATTAATAAATAAACAGACAAAAGATCTAAGTTGAGTCCTTACCCTTCATTTGTAGCTATGAAACGTTAGGTTACATCACTCATTCTCAGCTGGGAGGGATTTTGCCCCTCATGAGACATTTGGCAATGTCTGGAGAGAAATTTAGTTTTTACGCTAGGGGAGGTGGGGAGTATACTTCTGTCATCTAGTTCAGTAGGGGCCAGAGACCTTGTGAAAAATCCTACAATGCATAGGACAGTCCACAGCAAAGAATTACCCATCGAGAATGTCAGTAGTGCCAAGGCTGAGAAACCCTGAACTAGGTATTTTAACATTTTTGAGGTTTGGTATCTTCATTTTATAAATGGGATTAGTTCATTATTCAGAGAGGTGTTACTGAGGGTTAAAGTTGTAAAAAAAAGATCACCAACCCTAGCCAGTTTGGCTCAGTGGATAGAGCATCAGCCCGTGGACTGAAGGGTCCTGGGTTCGATTCCAGTCAAGGGCACATACCTCAGTTGCAGGCTTGATCCCCTGCCCTGGTCAGGCCCGTGTGGGAGGCAACCAGTCGATGTGTGTCGTATTGATGTTTTTCTCTGTCTCTCCCTCCCACTCTCTCTAAAATTCACTGGAAAAATTATCCTCAGGTAAGGATAAGAAAAAAATCACCATATACCTTTAAGAGACAAAAGGTAAAGCTTTTTAAGAAAGATAACAGCTTTATTGAGATATAATTCACATACCACAAAATTCACTTTCTTATTATCTACAATTCAGTGGGTTTTAGCACAACTCTACCTTGCTAAACTTTTTTTTTAAATGAAGGATTATAGAGGTTTGGTAAAGAATGTCTTAAATGTATTAAAATGGTATGTTGTTTCCCAGATAGATATATAGGTAATACTTCTTCTGTGTGGCTTTTTTCCTATCCTAGTTCAGTCAAAGAGTGCTGATCCTTTGAAATCAAAACATCAGTTGGACTTGGAGCGTGCCCATTTCCTTGTTACACAAGCTTTTGACGAAGATGAAAAGGGGAATGTTGAAGATGCTATAGAATTGTATACTGAAGCCGTAGATCTCTGTCTAAAAACTGTATGTATAGCTACAAGTTAAATTTGGTGGAATTATGCTAAGAAATTTCTCCCTTTACTAGTTAATTTTATTTAACAATTTCTTAAAGAAAATGTGTCATGAATGTAACTAAATTACTCATTAAAAGATGGAGAGTAAAAAATGAATAGTGGATTTTAATATCTCGTTTAAAGTTTTTAACAGCATTAAGATTGAATCATTAAGCAATTCTTTTCTAAATTACAGGTAGCTTTTTAACCTCTTTACATATAACTAAATTAACTTATTACAGGAAGAATTCACCATCACAAATTTAGAATAAACTCCCCTCCCCCCTTTTTTTCAATTTCATACACTAAAAACAAAGGTAGTGGTTTGGTAGTGCTTTATTCATTTGCAATGTAAAATCTATATGATGAGTTGCTTTTACTTCTCTCTGAGGAGCCCTAGGTGGGATGTGAGCTTTAAAGGGCATCTAGTGCATAAGAGCAGTGTATTTGACAGGAAGATGAGGTGAAGTGGTAGAGAGTGGTCTCAGTATTATTCAGAGCACTGGCTTTTTGTCTAGGGTGTTTTGCTCAGGAGAACCATCTAACCTGATCACTATGGGTACCAGAGACTGGAGGTAAGTGCTGGTCTTCTGAGGTTCCTGCCTTCCATGGCACCAGGTCACACAGTTGTGTTCCAGTTACCACCTGTCCACTTTAAGTGGCCTTAAAGCTTACTTCGATGACAAGTTTTCAACACTATTTTAAACAATACCTTTAAGAATGAAAATAAAATGTCTTGGTTTATTCTCTCATAATTTCAAGAAGTGTAATGTGCATGGTTAATTTTTTTGCTTAGAAATATGAATCAAGAAAATTTAAAAATAATTATGCTTCAGAATGTGTATCTCTCTTTCTCTTAAGTCCTATGAAACTGCTGATAAAACTCTGCAAAATAAACTGAAACAGTTGGCTCGACAGGCACTAGATAGGTGAGTTTTGGTCACTTAAGTTCTTTTCCATGGGTGGCAGTGTATTGTGTCACTTAAATGTGACAGATTTATCAAAATGTGTTAGAGCTTATAATAACAAATCTCCATCTTTTACCTGAGATGTAGAGGAAGTCTATTTTTTTTCTCTGAGTGCATTTACTTCTCTAGTTTCCTGCTTTAAATTTAAAAAATAACATTAATCAGGAAATGTTTTCTGTAGCTTTTTCTATATATGAAACAAAAATGACCATGGTATTTGAAATGGAAGACTTCCCTTCTGTTGTGTAATATCAGACTTCCAAAGAAGAGAACTTCCAGAGAGCCTTCTAGAGCTAATAATAAAAATGAAGAAATTGAGAATGAGCCAGTTTACAGCCATACACATACCCTAAATTATATAATGTAGTAATTCCTTTAACTCTGCTCAAATGTCAACTTTTCAATAAGGCCTGCCCTAGCCCATATAAAACTGAATCTCCTTCAATACTTTTATCCTGCGTACTCTATTCTAATATTCTTTTCCATAACTCTTAACGCTTTCTAAGACATGAAATTTACCAGGTTGTCATGTTAATGTCTGTGTCCCTACCAACAGTCATCACTTTAATGCAAGCTCTTGAGCACAGAGAATTTTGTCTGTTTTGTTAATGCTCCGAGCGTATAGCAGAGGGTTAGACTTAACAGTATGTGCTCAGTAGGCATTTGTTGAAAGAATAAATGGATTTGCACAATAGAATTCTACCCTTGAAGAGTACTATAGACAAAGGAAAAGGGTGGAAATTGCTTTTATAGTTATATTTCATAAAATTGCCTCCTTTTGAGGCTCTGACTAGCTAGCTGTACCACTCCAGTCTTTCTTTTTTTTATCAAAGTATAATAGTCATCCCTCCATTTTATTACCATCATCTAGCCTTTAGTTTGTTTTTTTCAAATTCTTGAAAATATGGACACTTAACACATAGTTATTTTCTCCATTTTGACTTCTTTCATATTGAAGCATCGCTGACTTTTATTACCTATGCAGCTAACCCATCCAGTATTCTCTAAGTGTATCCCTAAGTGCACTGGAGTGGGTCAGTCATGGGCTCCTTTGAGGATCTGTTCAAAATTATGGATCCATTCTTTAAGAAAAATGTACATAAATTTTTTGGCATGAATTTCAGAATTTTTACAAGACTCCTGAAACTATATATGGACCTCAGATTAAGAACTTCTGTTTTTTAGCTTGTTAGTTCTTTGACAAAGTCAAAATTTCCTGGACTATCATGTGAGGCCTATAATCCAATCTCTGCCAGTGGTTTTATCTCCCACTGCTTCTCATTTGCACTGTTTACAGAGGTTGCATCCATTCTTTTGAAATTACCTTAACTCACTGCTGTTTCATACATTTGCATATGCTATTCTCTCTACTCCAAATACTTCCTCACTCCCCTGGTGGACTTCTCTGCAGCCCAAACATCAATTCAGAAAAAAACATTCCCTGATTCACCCTCTCTTCCCACTGCATTAAGTTAATACCTTCTGTCATGCATTTACTCAAAAGTACTATTTCATGTTAGCATCTGTCACTTTTGATGTAGTTGTCTTTCTTTCCCCACAAAACTATGAACACCTTAAAAGTAGGGATTGTGTTTTATACATTCTTATATCCCCATTGCATAGTATCTGATATAAATGCTCACTTAATAGAATGTTGTTTGCAAAAATACCTTTGGGAGTAGCTTAAGTAGTGAACAGTAGACTAGTTTGTAAGAATTTTATATACTAGGTTTACATTAGGAATGCTTGACTGGTTCTTGAAGTAAATTTTATTTTCTGGAAAGCTTAAATGTGAAAAAAGCTAAACAGTGTTTCTGTACCTCTATTATAGAGCAGAAGCATTGAGTGAGCCTTTAACAAAGCCATTATGCAAAGTCAAGTCAACCAATATTAAACCAAAGCCACCTCCAGCAAGAGCACATTTTCCACTAGGAACTAATCCCTTTCTTGAAAGACCTCAGCAATTTATAAGTCCACAGGCATGCGATGCACAAGGACAGAGATACACGGCAGAAGAAATAGAAGTTCTCAGGTAAATTAGTTTCTCATTCATTGTAATGAACAATTTTATTCTCATTAGGTTTGGGTCATATTCACATCTTATAGTGTATAATGCTATTAATTATATATTGTCATGCGGTCACAACTTTAAATACTTAAAATTTTTCTAATATATTTTAGTATTAGCATTTCTACTAGGTATGTTTTCCTGAAAATCCTAGCATTCTTTAAAATTGAGAACTAGAATTTAGGGAGCAAAATAGATCTGTGGCAGACCAATCAATCATCTGTGCAACTTTGTAACCAGATCCCTAATGGGAAAAATAAATTGTTACCTTGAAATAGCAGTCTAGGCCAGGAGTTAGCAAAGGGAAGCCTTGAGCTATGAATAGTTTTTGGATTTTTTTAAGGGTTCTAAAAAAAAAAAACAACAAAAAACACAGAACAACATATGACAGACCTCATTGCAAAGCCAAACTATATTCTATTTGGCCCTTTAAAGAAAATGTTTACCAACCCCTGGTCTAGGAAGCCATATCAGTGTGTGGAAGAGCCTCAAGGGTGTTAAAAATGCAAACAACGGTGATGTGGAACTCCTTGGTTGCATTCTGAGCCATCCCAGATGGGATAAATCTCTGAGCCAGTGTGGCTGTTCTTCAGTTGGGCTCTGGAAGAGATCTAACCTACTTAGAGTAGTGCGAATCATGTAGTTGCTCATTTTTAATTTCCTAAAATTGAGCCTAAAGGGCTCCTCACGTAGCAGCCACCTGAGGGTATTTTTCTTTCTTTTCTTGCCATGGATTTTAATTCTCCTACAAGTCTGGCTCTCTTTGCCTGGCAAATTGCATGTGAAACGAAACAACGCAGAGCAGTTTGAATAAGGGTGGTTTTGGAATTGAGAGACGGTAGATTAGTAACAGTCCGACACTCGGGCTACTTGGCATCCAAAAGTTCTCTTCTGTACACATTTGACATTCCATACTACAACAAAACAACTCTATATTTCTAACAAATGCAGCTATCCTTCATACAAGTGAAAAGTTCTCATCCTCTCAGAAAAAGGATATACACAGTAATAGTATCCATCGCTTACTGTATTAACTGTTCTTCAAATTCAGTCACAGTCTCCCTGAATATTGGGGACTAAGTGGTGAAGTTACCCTGCAATTACTTCTAAATAAAATGAGGGAAAGAAACAGAAGAAGGAAATAGTAAATATACTAGTATACAAATAAATATACACAAAACAAGAAAATATGCAAAGCTACTACCAAACACATTTCTTTAACTTTTCAAGAGGCCATAGATGTTATCTATGACACTTAACCACTCCATATTCTCATACCCAGAAAATATGAAGAATATAGTTTCATAGTTATAAATGTCATGTTTTTTAAATCTCAAAATAACCAAGCAATTGTTTTCTCCCTTTGGACTTAGGATAGAATTCACCTTGTCCCTGGTGTCACAGACACACAGACACTTTCAATACTTCTGGTTGGGCCTGTCTTGAGACTATTGTTTTGTTGTAACTCTACTGAATTGAATTAAATCAGTTATATTCTGGTATTCAAAAATTTTGTGAAAAATTTGTACAAATAAAGATACTGGTTTTGTCCAACGTGAGATTGTTGGTTTAATTTTATTACAGTACCATACCTTGTCATTTAAATTTTAAGGAGTTTAAGTAAATATGCTAATTTGAACATTTACTTTAGATTTTATTTTCTTGTATTTTTTAGGACAACATCAAAAATAAATGGTGTAGAATATGTTCCTTTCATGGCTATTGACCTGAGAGAACGTTTTGCCTTTCCAATGCCTTTCTGGTAAGTAAGCACTATAGCAATTTTTACTTCCAATATTTTACTTTTTCAGTACTTTTTCCATATTCTGAAGTCTAAATTTATAGTTTTGAATTTAAATTTGTGGTTTAAAAATTTGATTGGAAGAAAAGTGTGGTTATGGGAAGGAGATAGGGGCAGCACAGCAATACCTCTGTTACTCTTTTGTCTCCTTTTGCGTAACATTATACTCAGTGCCAAGCACAGTTCCTGGCACAAAGTACGTACTCAGGAAATATTTGTTGAATTGGTGTTTGATCACAACAAAAATGCAAGTCTAAAAGAACTGAATGGAAAAGTGGAATAGAATGACAATATTGTTTACTAAGAAGATATAATTCAAAAAGGAGTTAATTATGGAAGTGTTAGCACAGCCTTCTAGGATAGTGGAAGCTTATGTCAAGAGCCTTAAAAATATTGTTTGGTTCAATACTAGCTTCTGGTCATCCTAAGGAAATAATCTCATTAAAGATGTTTATGTATATAAGAGCATTCATCAAAGCATCTCATAGCAAAAAGTTATTGAAAAAAATATTTAACAATATGGGAATGATTAAATAATGGTACATTCATTTTATATTAAGTACTAGAGGCCTGTTGCACAAAGAGATTCGTGCAATAGGCCTTCCTTCCCCTGGCTGCTGGCACCAGTTTTCCGCCGGCACCCAGGACCCAGGCCTTCGCTCCGACCACAGCAGAGAAGCCAAGCCTCGAGGATTCTCCGCTCCGACTGCAGCGGAGAAGCCAAGCCTCTTCAGTCTTCGTCTTCAGTGGTCTTCAGTATTCGCTCGGGTGGAGCCTTCAGTCTTCGCTCTGAGCCTACATATGCAAATTAACCGCCATCTTTGTTGGGTTGGTTTGCATGCTCATCCTGATTGGCTGGTGGGTGTAGCAGAGTGACACCAATTTGCATGTTTCTCTTTTATTAGTATAGATTATGGTTCCCATAAAAAAAATAAGTCCTTGAAAAATGTAGGAAAAATGCTTGCAATCTAGTAAAAAGAAAACTAGAAAACTATACATAACATTCCATTTTTTTAATTTTCATATATTTATACATATATAGAAAATGATGTAAAGATTATACATCAGAATGTTTAGTTTTTATTTATAGGTAGCAAAATTGGGTGAGTTAACTTTTTAAAATATTTTTATTTTTAAAAAAATTTCTGCAATGCATATATCAGAAAACAGAATTGAATGCTTATTATATACAGAAAATATAAAAGGTCTTAAAAAGAATAAAAGAACTGCTTTCTCATTTTTGGTGTTTTGCTGTTCTTGGATGGGCAGAAGTTAGATATCTCAAAGCCAATAAGTTATCAATCTAATTTCTTCACTCAGGCAGCCGATGCTAATACTTGATTGGAATCTAAGAAAATCTTATATCTGAGAGGCTTTATAGCATTGATGTTGAGGGCACAGACTCCAGAGCCAAGTTCAGTTTCATGCCCTATGTGATGCTGCACAATTTTTTAAGCTGCCTTAGATTTTAAAACAATATTCGAATCCACCTCATACCATTACAGTAATTATTAAATGAGTTAATGAAATATAAACCACTTAATAATGGTGCTTGAATTTAAATTTGTAGTTTAAAAATTTGATTGGAAGAGAAGTGTGGCTATGGGAAGGAGGTAGGGCAGCACAGCAATACCTCTGTTACTCCTTTTTCTCCTTTTGTATAGCATTATACACAGTGTCAAGCACACAGTTCCTGGCACAAAGTAAGTACTCAGGAATCCTATCTAATAAAAGTGTAATATGCAAATTAACCGTCACTCTGCAACAAAGATGGCGGTGCCCATAGGGGCTGGGCAGGACCCTGGCGGCATCACCCCAGCAATGTGAGCCCAGCAGGCAAGAGGGGCGCAGGCAGCACCCAGCAGGGCCTGCTGGGCAGTAGCAGCGGTGACCGGGAGCAGGCAATCGGGGTGCAGACAGTACCCAGCAGGTCCTGCTGGTGGTGCGACCTGCGCACAGGCAGCT